TTAACCTCCGGGAGGATTGTAGGGATGGCTGGAGCTAGATAGGGATTGTGCTACAGTATTTGGATGATGAGTGAAGTTCTGGTGAAATTTGTCAAGATTAGGTCAAGCACAAATATGAGATAAAGGTCATGGCACTATTTGAGGATAACAATGGATTTTCGAATAATTGGGGAAATGAGTAAATTCCAAGATAGATTTTGATCAAAAATTATTCCAAGGTTTGAATCAGAGATGTGGAAGTGGATATGGAGGTGTTGGTTTTATTGACATTCATCATCAAATAATTGTTTACTAAATATGCGTTGATACATTCTTAATTAGTATTAAGTAAGTACTTTAGTATTAAAAAAAACGGTAGAAAACTGTTGTCGGCAAGCCTAATAGTTATTAACGTTGCGTACCGATCGACTACCGACTTTCAATGCTTCCGTTTAAATGATGACTTCGGAATAAATCATTGAAGCAATACAACTTGAAAATTTCTGTGAGAGCAATCGCCTTGCCATATATTCACATAACGCATTTAATGTCTCTATATTTGTCTCAAATCTAAATGTCAATTAAGTACTTTTGTCTATGTATACAGCATCGTAAATCTTAGTTTACTCCGCATAAAAAAAATCATCGAGTATACATAAACTTCTATATATTTTAAGCAAAATATACTGCGAATAGAATACAATGCTGATCTGAACCTGTTGGCTACCTGAATCTTGTTTCCGGAGCCAATTAAATTTCACAAGATATAACTGATTAAGGATCTCGGAGAATAACAAGCCGTTCGGAGACGATCGCTCAAACGTAGGAAACTAATTGGGCTGGCCATGGCAGTTTGTAATGGCTATCTCGGATCGGATGTATTTGTCAAGGAGGCAGCGATAATATAAAACAGCACTGCCTTATCGATCGCTGGATCCTAAGTCATAGTCACACGACAGTATAACCGATCGCTGGCTGGAGATAGTCCCACCATTTCTCAATATCACCTTCGGTCTTAGGAATGTCTATCTGCATACCTTACTATCAATTATAATGTATCAAGGATGTTGTGTTAAGAGGCTTCCTGATGAATCGATTCAAGTTAAATACTCCTTAATTAAAATGTTTTTCTTCATTTCCACACAATGTTTATTTAGATATCATTTTGGTTTATTATTATTAATAATGAACCATTTTAACGGCCAAGAAAATAGTAGGTGGATTGTCCTGAAATTTAGTATCAAAGGCAGATGTAGCCTAAGGATAATCCTCCTAACTCGACATTCGTTTCTAAATTACTGCCGAAACACTTGGGCCGCTGTATACTGTAGCACCTTATCAGCTTTAACGATCTTAAAGTAGCTTCCCGAAGACTTCTCCTTGAAGTCTTATAAATTTACGTATACAACAAAGTTCCCCAAAAAGAACTTAGAATGAGTTTTGACAAATAAAAAATTCTATTTGGGGAATTACACAAAAGATTCACACTTTGTTGATCATGTATATACTTATTTGAAAGAGGGTGGAATCACCTTAAAAATTAAATAATCATCATCGGACTACTTGTTACAGAGAGACGGTGTTTTGAACTTTCTACACACGATTTGATATGAATTCGATTTTATGTTTTTTAACAGCAAATTAATTTTAAAAAATAGCCAACTTTGTCTGATATTTTTCGGGAGGTAAGGAATGTAGTTTGAAACGCCACACGTATTTAATTTTTAAAACAAAAAGAAAAATCTGTACCACTGCAACCTACAAAGGGGTCATTCATTACTTTGTAAGTAAGTACTGTCTCAAGATCATTGATTGTGCAGGAAGATGATTGGGAAGGGATCACGCTCAACGATCAGTTTTTTCTCCTTAGTTAATTATTTAATTAAAAATATCCACTTCATTGAGGCTGGGTGTGATCTAAAATGGTCCCTGACCTACAGCTGATGAAAAATTATTTGTCATTAGCTGAATCCAAAACCGGGACCTTCAACTTAAGAAGTCAGTGCTTGCCCACGTACCCTATTTCATCCGTAACGAATTTATTGCAGACATTTCTTATTTTAGAGAGCTGAGTCACACAAATATTCTGTGTCTGATTTCTTGGAATTGTAAACTAAAAATTAATTTATGTCTTTGTTTGAGTTTTTTTTATTGTATTTTTTTTCTCTTTTCCAACTCTCTTCTATTCAATATACAAAGATACAAGAAGAAAACTCTGGATCAGGAGACAGGATCTAGGTGCGTAAGTTTAAAAGAACTGAATATATAAGACCAATTCATATATTACTTAAAATAAACCTTTAAGTTTCGTCAAGCGATTGTAAATTGTGAAGGAATGGTTCCTATAGTTTAATCCAGCAAATGATGATACCGAAATGTTAAATAAATAAAAATATTCAGTATATGAGATGGTAAAAGATAATTAGGAATATGTATCTGAAAGCGAAAAAGTATATGATTGGTCTAAAAATGTATTAAAAAAATGTGAAAAGAAAAGTTGTTTATTAATTTTGAATTCAAAATGATAATAAAAGAAGAGCTTCCTTAGAATGCATAAAATAAATAAATCAGCCTTCCATGGATCCATTTATCTTCACATTTATATTTATACAAAATAAATTATACGAAGATTAAGTATATGGCGCCTGAAATTGTAAGGTCAACCAAAGGATGCGGGTCGTTCCATCTTTCCTTTATTATCTATCTTGAGGTGCCCATAAATTAACTAATACAGCGATTACTGTCCACCTTCCCGCCTTTATAGGCTCACAGATCAGCTGGGCTGCAGATTTCTCCAACGATGCAGGTACGGTCCTTCCATTAGCCGGTATATTCACTTTATCGTGGGAAGGTTGCTTTTAAGATTTCTTCATTTCAGAAAATTAGTTACAGCAACTTAATATAAAATTGAAGGAATGTTATTCCTTGAGAAATACCAATTAGAGAATAGGTTCTAACTATCTGGTCGATAATATGAGGCACTGTTAGAATAAATATTTCAACAGTGTGCCTAATGTATATTATTTTATAAATATATACTTCATTTGAAAAGAAAATGGGACACTTGATAATCTAGAGTTATGGAAGATTCTATGGAAATTGTAATATTCTCGTCCAAACTGTTTTTGAGCTTTCTATGTGTTATTATTAGAAGGAGAAATAGACTCCTGAAAATACCCTTCTTGTTCTAGTGTATTCAGTAGAAGAAAAAGTACATTCCTAATCAATATTAAATAATAAAAAAAAATAATATCAATAGGAAAAGCTGCGGTATAGGACTTCAATTGAAGTCTTTGGCCAACAAAAAAAATATATATAAAAAGAAAATTAACTCTGAAAATTCATATCCAATACCACTCATGATTCCTGTCCATCAAAATTCAAATCCAAAAGCAAAGCATTCCCGTTATGCCTCTATCTGTTTATCGTATGTTATGTCGTTTGGTCAGCTCACATTACCTTTCTTACACTAACTACCCCGACATCTTTACAAGCCTATTGTAGAAACTGCACAGTGATCATTTTCATAGGTGTAGACTTTCTATTTCGATTGGAGGAGGGGGCACCAGACAAAAAAAATAAAATAAAATAAAAATAGTGGTCATTTTTACTATGCGTAAATATTCAATATAATTATTGTGAAACGAACAAATATAATATTGAATGTTTTAAATTAATTTGTTTGTTGTAAGGATTTTTATTTATTCTTTTTGTTTTACTTAATATACTTGAGAATATCTAAAAGAAAATACAATGCATATATAATGTATTTGTTTATATTAAACACAGGAGGAGTAAAGACAGCCTTCATAACAGTACATTTCTAGAACATTTTCAGCTAAAATGAATAATTTAAAAAAGTGAAAAATATCTTTGATTTGTTTACTAAAACAATGTACACATCAAATAATAATATAACCTTTTTCAAAGCCCAGCTAGTTTGTGGCGGAAAATGTGATAAGAATGTTGCTTGAAAATTGAGGGATGATTATTAGAATTATTTCTTGTAGCTTATCTACTATTGATTTCAATTTTTTATTATTTAATTAAGATTTTGTAATATGGCTATATTAAATGAATATGAAAATTATCTTTATGCTATTATATATAAATTGTAGAAATATGGTGAAGCGCCATGAAACGATGATTCAACTTCTATCAATAAAATTAAATATTAATAATATAAAACTAAGGTGTGAGCTTTAGACCACACCATATAAATGACAACATCAACACGGCGAGATTAATAATATGAAATATAAGTTATAAATAATAGCTCATTATAAAGAAGTTGACTTTAACCCATATCTTCCACAAAACTCGTTATCGTTTGGTTTTCGGCAATATTTTTTCCCTTTTCCCCTCTCTAACACAGTGTCGCATTATGATTCAGTTTTGAATAATAGCTCATTACAGAGAAGATGATTTTTTTATTAATTCCCTCGCTTACAGTTTTCAGTTCCAATCTTCAGTTTCTGACATATTGTAATTCACATTTTCCATAAAATTGGTTATTGTTTGGTTTTCGACACTATGTTTTCCCTTTTCTCTTCTCTAACACCTCGTCGGGTTAAGATACAATTTTGAATAATATTTCATTACAAATAGGATGAAATAATGGACACTACGCTTGCTAAAAATATACAGAACACTTCAAGTAGTCGACTCCAGCCGACTTTACCCGAGCGTTAAAATCTGATCAATCTTATTCAAAAGTGTAAAACGCGGTTAAAGAAGTTTTCACTTCGAAAAGGTATGTTGTTGAAAAATAATCTATTGATTGAATAACAAATCTTCCTAAAACAATTAACTATATTTCGTAAGAAAAGAGTTAAGTAAAATGTATATATCCGTATATAGATTATTTTTAAGTACGTTATTTTCATATTGTAACTGTAAATAATGCAATGATAGTTTTAAGAACAATCCGTTAGATATACTTTTGTCCATTTATTAATCTATTTCTTTCAAAAAAACAAACCAGTTTAAGCAATTTTATAAATATCTATTTTTTATATTCTTCAAAATTCCTGAATACAAAAGTGCTCGACTGCATCAAATGCTATGCGGTCATCAGTTCGTACAGTGATCACAACACGGTGCTCTGCGTACCCCTTGAGGAACCCCTTCCGATCAAGGAGGCAGCGCGATAAAAAGACGAACCCGGATCGTGGTGGGGGTCGGGAGTTGGGAGGTCCATTCATAGCTCTCCATTCATCGGCGAGGTAGCGAGGTACGTCAGGGCGGTCAGCGAGCTACGTTCTACACTGCGATGCGGCTTCTGGTATGTCATCAATGTCTGTCATGTCATGTGTGCTACGTGAGTGAGTTGGTGTGCATGTTTCTGGTAGTCCAAGCAGTGGTGGTAGCAAGTGCGGATTTGTTCCAAAGATATAAATGTTGCGTGTTAATTTTTTTTTATTGAAGCCATTAAGAGGTAATTAAATAAATTTATATACATAACAATAAATTTAGTGGTACGCGCGTCGAGGATTTTTTCAAACAATTAACATTTAGATAGTGAACAACAGAACAGAACTTTCTTGCTATTAAATTTTTATGCAGCTGACACATGAATACTAATGGCAATTTTAGATCAATATTGCAAGAATGAAACTACCGAAAATTATTAAAATAATAGAATTATTGCACTTTATATTGATAAAATTAAAAGATAAATATGTCGAATCTAAAATATCATGTTTACAGTATTTAATGATTATATTATTACGTTAATTTAAACTCAGCACCAATCAATATTTTTACAAATGAAAATAGTAATAGATGATGAAAAAAAATATGCATATTTATTCAAAATATTATACAAAATTTTTACATTAATTAAAAAAATATTTAGTGAAATTTATATATACATATATAATATATACACATAAATTTAGATACATATTTATAGAATTTAGATCAAATATTATTAAATATATTTTTTCATCAAAAATTTAAAAAATTTACTTAATAATTTATATCTGATTATAGAATAAAATTTGAACTAATTAGGGCGCCAAAAGAATATTTTTTTTTATTTTTGTTGTAGGAAAACAAAGAGCAATTTTTGATCTAGGCGCAATCAAGATCTAATTAATACAACAAAGAAAGAAGCTTTTCTTCTTCATATTTATCCCATAAGCTTTGTGAATTCGCTTTAAAAATAAATAAATAAAATTGATTCTGGATAAGTGTAAAAAATTAATTAAAATTATGTTATTTTCTTGGTAAAGTGGATCGTTGCAAATAATAAACTGCAAACACTATTTTATTTTGCTTTATGACTAGGAATAGATAACCAATATTTGTAATTACCACATAGAAAACAATTAAACACCAATAAATACTTAGTAGAAACTTTATTTTATTTTAATACAATAAATAATTTTAATAATATTTAAAAACATATTATGATTCGCTCAACAATTTTTATTCAATGTAAACAATATCAAAATCTATATAAAAGTTTGATAAATAAAGTTGAACATTTTTTAAAGTTAACATGGTTTCAAACTTGAGTAAAATCTTGTAAACATGAAAGTTAATTAAACATTTTGGTTGAAGTTCTTCCTAGTCCGAATAAATTTTCAAACCTTATTCGTTAAATGTTTATAAAACTTATATCGGTGCATTTTTAAATGTTTTTGTGTTAAATTTGAATTGCTATGTATTTTTTAATTTCATATTCCGTTGTCAAAGTTACTGTCAACAGGCGAAAATGATAAGTTTACATAAAAAATATGTTACCAATTTATAATAATGTGAATATGGCTTATCCTAAAGGTTCTATAAAATACAAAAGGGATATAATTCCTAAGGTTTCTTTACAAATCTTAAAATAGTGTTTTATCGGTTGTTTTAAAAAAAATTATGATCATCAAAAATTATAATTTTTAATTACACCATAAATGGTGTATTTAAGTATTTTTTAAATGTTTAAAATAAAACAACAATAAAATAGTTGACAATTTGACTTCGAAATTACTTTTAATCAAACCTCATCCCCGGCACCATGTTAGGATCTTATCATAATAACACAAGTAAAATCGACTGTTTCTCAAATTTACACCACTGGGCAAATTATATACATTTGTATAATTAGTAACTTAAAAATAAAAAAAACTAAATAGAGTTTTTACAAATTTCTATTAATACAACTATAATTTACATATATTATGTAGTTCAGATTGTATTAATTTTTATCAACATAAAATAAACGGAACGAAACTACAGTTCGGAAAAATTATTATTTCTTTTTAAAAATCTATATTACACATTGCGCATTATTGCCATTCTGTAACCTTTATAAGGTAAAAATATTTCTGGGTATAAGAAGTCTTCGTTACGGTCCGTCTCAATTTGTATATGTAAAATAAAATATTACTAAAAACTTATATATAATAGAAAAATAAGTTAATAAATTAATAATTGTAAATTCATCAAATCCATTTAGTATTCATTTTAGATAATCAAATATATCTTGATTTTTATATATAATTTGAATCAGAGAAGGGCAAATGCTACTCTGAGTAGTGAGTACCAAGTATTTTAATCAAATACTGACCTTTTTAGAGTACCGAAGAATTTATTTACTACTTCAGTTGGTGTCAAATGATTCACTGAAGTCGTGATTGAATTCCCAATAGTGATTCAATTTGAGTAAAATACTTGGTACTCGGTATTCACAGTGGCATTTGCCCATCTCTAGTTTGAATTAGACTTCATTTATAGTTATTAGATCACTTAATACTTACATAATTTAACATCATATTTCATTCGTATTATTTTTATTGATATGTTCCGAAGACAATTTTTTTCTTCTTTCTGTATTATTTTTTTTTTTGTTCTTTTTTTTTCAACTGACATGGTCTTCCGAAACGACTGTTCTTCTTAAATATGACCAATTAACATTGTTTCGTGGAGATATTTTCAACACGGCAATACCATCGTTTTTGTTATATTGCTCTATGTTTTCATCTTAAGGTTTATTCGATGTTTTCGATATTTTTGAGACTGGAATGGACTTTGCACAGAGACAAGTGCGTTAGCAAAGATTTGGCATCTAAGTCAGTGTAATCCTAAAAAGAAGGGAAGATCAGGTCAGGTCGTAATGGAGGGTAAATGCACCCTTGGGTTATGATTATATTTCGATATGAATATATTATCAGCTCCTGAATCTACAAGTACAATAGATAATACATAAAATCACTAATATTTTGTTATATATATATATATATATATATATACATATATAATATAATATATATATATATATATGTATATATACATAATTTCTTAATAGATAAAATACTGAGTTATTAACTTTCGGAAAGAAATCATAACAAAATATTTGTTTTTTACCCTTAAATTGGTTACTAATTTTTTTGTGTATATATATATATATATATATATATATATACATAATATATATAAAAATGGGATACAGTAATGATAATTTAGAAACAGTTGATTCATAATAATTAAAACATTTTTGGAACCATCTGAAGAATTAATTACAAAATAAAAATTAAAAAACATGTATAACATTTTAGCAAATATTATTATTATTATTAGTTTTGTTATTTATTCAAATTTGTATGTACATAGTAAGGAATGTTTTTTTTTGCCTGTTTTGAGAATGCAAAAATAACCACCAATAAAAATCTTGACAGACAAAAAGAGAATCTTTGTCCAAATGAGAAAACGTTGACAAATAATTTTATAAAAATTTCGAGACGTGGTAATTATATGTGCAAAGAAATGTTGAAAATGGTCAAGGGGCGGAAACTTTACAAACAAATGTGATTTAAATAAATAAAAGTTTTTTAGAATTATAAAGAAAATGTTCATTCGTTTATATGTTTTGGGAGTAAAACTGGGCCCAACTGTTTGTTATTTATTGTTAATTAGTGTGTTTTTTTTTTATGTAATAAGAGTAAAATTTGAAATTGATAAAATTATCTTGTTTTTCTTATGTGGATTTAAAATAATTTTAAAATAAATTTTAGTTCTTTACATTTATCCCTGTAATATTTTCAAGGTATAATTAATATTGAGTATTCCGATAACTATATTATAATTTTGAAATTAAACTTATTAATAATTCATAGTGCAATAGTGCAATCAATTATTATCAATAAATCGTATTAATAATAAATTTGAATGAATAATGGAAAATAATCTTTAAAATTAATACCAAATCCGTAATTTTTACAAAGACTATTGAATAAGAAAAAAAACGTAACGCAATTACTCTCAGAAGGAATCTCGTTGTGCAATTAAACGTGAAAGTTCTTCAGCCATTGATCAGTAAACAAAATGGTGGCGTTCTCTACCACTTTTAAATCTAATATCATAATATGCATTTAAATATTTAATTTGTATTATAAACGATAAAAATATTATTTTTTTGTTTGTTTATTTTTATGTTTTACAGCCAGAATAATTGGAACTAGATTATTTTTAAAATATAATATATTGTAAAAAACATTAATATGAATATATTTAAAAAAATATTATTAAGGATTGATTAGTACCTTGAAGTCAACATTTATTAATTTTATATAAATTTAATTTATTGAAGTTTATTACCAAACCTACAAAATAAAATCTTAAAAATATAGAATCAGTCTGTTGCTCCTCTAGCTTTCTTCTACTCCCATTTTTAATTAACTTCTTCAGAATTAGTTTTACACGATGAGAAAAATTCTTCTTAGACTGTACTCCAAAATTAATTTTATAAAGCAAAAAGCACATTCCAGCAATAATATCTTCCATGATGCTACAAAAGTAATATCCAAAACACAAATATGACTAATTTATTCGAGATAGTATTTTTCTTTAGACTTGCTGCCCTAAATTAAATCGCATGAAATATTTTGTACAAAAAAAAAGATATAACTATCATGAAATTTGGGATTTAGAGTGTTGATCATGCACTGATTTTTGAGTACGTATAATTATTTAGCTGTGTCAATATATATTCACATATTGCGGAGATATTAGTTACACATACCATACCTTTGGGACTTAAAAGCGTTATAATTTTTTTGGCTTATACAAATACAATAATTATTTTACAAGTATCTTTATACCAGTGGATTTTTTTCCTCTTCTTTCTCGCCTCTCAGGCTATACATGGTTTTACCAGCCAGAGGAGAGGCTTTTAACATCAAATTTTAAAGCCCCTCCGGCATTGGGATATGAACTCGTGATTATTTTATCAGGTTATCGCCACTTTATTAAGTTTTCCAAACAACCCGCGTTTAGCACACGCGTTAGGACGTTCGTCCTCCCAGTTCCTATGGGCGAATGGAATGGTGAACATTGTCTTTGGAAATATAAATGTATGTTCAATTTTTGAATTTTAAGTAAGTTAAAAAATTACTAAGCGCCAAATTATCATAGGATAGGGGCTGCGGTATATCCTGTTTGTTAAAATTTTATTTGCATCTTAATAAATTTTGGAATATATTAATTCTAGATAATTATGTTGACATTACTTAATGTTAGTCAGTATAGTGGCCATGATCATGCTTGACAGTTAATCCAAAGAATATCCCCAACTGATATTTTGTAAATTAATTTTCTGTATTTTCACTAATAATTTAAGTTATATTTGTTAATTGAAACTTTATTTTTTTCCCTGGCTCATATCTGGTTCCCGAAGTTGAGAACCTAGTACCTTATCTACAGTTATCAGAATCACAAAATAAAATAAAGTTACATAATAACAATAAATTAGTTACTCAAATAACAAAACAGAAAATGATTAAGTTTTATATCAGTAAACATTCTACCAATATTATTTAAAGCATTGCCTCTTTTATTGGAATTTATGTATCTTTTAAATTGAAGACATTTATTATTTAATAATAGTTTTAAATAAGACGTTTATGTAAATATTATTTTTTTAAAAGTATTTTACAACTAAGTTAATTTCTTTCTTTTAAATCCCCACCATGACTACAAACCTGGTGCGTGTATATAAATCAATCCATCCGATTATTCTTTTGAGCTCTGCGAACATTTTTGCTATTTTTAACTCGTTCTCCACAAACCGAAGCTTAATGAAATTTAGCTTTTCGAGCTTTGACTACATACCATTACTTTTTTGGGTATGTATACTTATTTACTAGTGATAATGTATTCCGTGTGTTGCGAAGATATTAGTTACATATTACTCTCTTGTGAATATGATTTCCTTGCAAAGTTTGCACAAACAAGCCGGAAAAGCAGCATTTATCTACTGTGGAAGAATGCACCTTTAGTGTATATTTTCCACCCGGTGGAAGGGGGGAGTATTTCCCCAAATAGATTTCCACAGTGGCTTTAGAAATAGGGCCATGGAAGGAGCGAGCTGAATCAAACTCACTAAATATAGCTCCCTTATCTTAGCTTCGGTTTCACTCATCTCTTTCAGCTCACTCTAATAACTCCTTCTATATTAATGATATTATTTCATTTCATTTACTGTTAATGAAAATAGTATATACATTTTAACATTTGTCTGTATTTATATACGAGTTTATAGTATAATATAAATAAGTTGTGTTGCGTAAATGGAAAACTGTTGCAGTTCTAGCATTCGTGATAAATCGAAATACTGCATATTATGAATTAATCCAGCAAATAAAGTGAGCGAATGAAAAATAACACAGCATATCAATCAACTAGATATTATACAATGAAAATTGCCTACCAATATTGTTGTAGTTATGATAGCATACATAAAATAAAAAATATTACACCGGTTAGATATGTTTACAGCTTACATGTAAATGTATATGGGATATTGTTTTTTATTTATCTTCATTGCAATAAATCGAATCAATTTAAAGAAATTAATTTTATTGAATAGAATTATTAATCTTAAAAGGAAAGAAACCATTAAGACCAATAAGGACCTGGAAAATGGTCTACTTTATCCTCAAAAACTTATCTATCTTTGTTTTCTTTTCAGTAACATCAAATTAAATAAGTCAAATATCAAATTCCATGATGTTCCATCATAAAAGATCATCTTGAAACTTTCTATTAAATTAAATTCTATAAACACAAAAATTAAACCGATGACAAACATTTTGTGATAAGTGTATTTAAAAAAAAAAGTTTCGTTACTCATGAAATTTTTAGATATTTTTTACCACTTAACGCAGTTTTTATAATAATTATATCATTTTATTGTTTTCTATATTTATTTATAAAAAATAGTTTTTCTTGATAAATTATATTTTTTTGCATTCTATTAAAAATTCAATAATAACTTATTAACATCAGATATTATAGAAGCCTTATTCAAATTGTATTTTTTTAAAAACCAGGATGATTTCTACAGTGAACCCAAAGGAAGTATTAACGAGGAAAAAACCTTTCAGTTGAGTTAAAAAAATAATATTTTTTAGAAAGATAAAAATATATTATCTATTTGTACATATAAAGGAAAGAATAAGATCGATCGAGTACAAGCCATTATAGTTCTTTAGTTTAAATAATAGTTCATTTTTGTTCGATCCTTAATTTATTATCCTCGCATGCAGTAGTCGATCTAGGGGATTCATTAGAAGAATTAAATAAAAGACTTATAGATAACATATAAACTTACAGCCAATATTGGAGGATATTATAATAAATAGCGAAATAGTAAGCTGAATTTGAGCTTAGAGAGTGCATTTAAAAATTATAAATGATAGACCATTCTTTAATCTGTGATTTTCTTGGAACAGATAATAGTTTCCTAAATATGATACTCATCCTACAATATAAATATGTATGCATATTTAGGTACAAACATGGCCTCAAACTTTGCCATTTAAATGGAAAAGGCAAAGAAATAAAATAAATTTAGGTAATTATTTTATATTACTAGTATTGCTATAATAATAGTTAAAACAGTAATCATTGTATTGTACCATTTGTGGTTACTGTATTATTGGAGATATGAAAAAAAAATATTATTGCTTCAGATTTATAAATATGTGAAAATGAAGAAATATATATATATATATATATATATATATATATATATATATATATATATATATATTTCTTCATTTTCACATATTTATAAATCTGAAGCAATAATATTTTTTTTTCATATATATATATATATATATATATATATATATATATATATATACGGGATAGTCCGAGATATACAGGACTTCCAAATGTATTGTTTGTATACATTTGGAAAAGTAGAATATATATATATATATATATATATATATATATATATATATATATATATATATATATATATATATATATACATACTCTTTTTCCAAATGTATACAAACAATGCATTGAGCCTCGCAAGGACTATCCCGTCCTTGACACAGAACCGAGGCGCGTACATGGCAGGTGATCTGCATCCAAAGCTATGACATTATCGAAGAGCTATCCGCCGGTGGAAGATCAGGACTCGGCTCCTGAATACTCAACCAGTCTTTAGAACCTTTTCAGGAAACTCACGATTGTCTGGAGTAATCCTCGCTAATAGAATCGTTAGTATATAAGAGGGCCTTCCATTCGAGGACCTTGAAGTTCGTCTGATATAGACCTATGGAATTCATACCAAGGGCTAATTTGTTTGGGCAGTTACATTTTTATTATAAACATTAGCTTTTACACATCACAGTTGTTGTTAATTTAAAAAAAAAAAAAAAAAACTAGGTTTTGTGATTTGTGCCGCACGATAGAAGTGAAAACAGCAACAAGGCAAGATTAATATTATTAAATATAAATTATAAGTAATAGTTTATTAGTAATTACAAATAGGTGGAACATTTATCTCGCTTACAGTTTGTGGTTCCGATTTTTAGCTTTTGAGATATTTTATTCCATATCTTCCATAAAACCCTTTAATTTTGTTAAGCGGTTCTATTGTATCCCAGTATTTTTCAATTACTTTTAGTACATCTTTCCAGTTGATATTGATAAATATATTTTCTACATCAAAACAGACCAAACAATATATACCTGTTGTCTATTTTATTTATTCTTTGAAGCATTTGATCTATCTCCATTGAGTTTTTTACATCATTATTAGTATCTGATTTCAGGTTATTGAGTGTGGAATTGAGATATTCAGCCAATTTTTCAGTTTTCATATTGATATTTCTGATAATAGGACTAAGTGCAGCGCCACTTTTATGTAACTTTACTGATCCATGTATTTTAAGTGTATTGTCGTTAGGGTTAAATATTTTAACTGTAGTTAAAGTTATTACTAAGTTCTATTGCATAAAATATTCACATCAAAATAAGGCCAATCTAATAATGCCCTTAATGATTAATAATTTACTTATATAAATTAATGATACTTACTATTTTATATTGTATTCAACAACTGTATGTTATTTATGTGGAAATTTCCAGTTGGAAGGTTATGTAATGTTGTATTATTATATATTTTCCATTAAGCCTTAGAATTTCTGTTTTTATTACCATTTATATTATTTCTCTTCTTGTTTTTTTTTATATATTGTTAATAATGTTGTTAAAATAAAATTTCAATGCTGTGATAATGTAAGCATTTGTACTATATACTAGCATAAACTTGTTATCATTTGTTTTCGGACACTATCTAATTTCCTCTCGTACTCTCTAACACGGTGTTGTGTTAAGATACAATTTTGAATAATAGCTCGTTACATAGAAGATAAAAGGCTGACCATTTCCCTCTCTTACAGTATTCACGGCCGATTCCAAGTATCTGAAATATTTTAATCCATATATTCAATTAACCTCGTTATCATTTGGTTTTCTACAGTATTTTTGCCTTTTCACCACCATCGCGTTAAGAAACAATTTTGAATTATAGCGAGGATGAAATGCTGAAAAATTTCCTCTCATAGAGTATGCAGGACCGATTTTTAGTTGCTGACATATTTTAAACCATACGTAAAAACATTTCAATTAGTCGACTATAGCCGACTTTACCCGAGCGTTAAAATCTGACGGATCAATCTAATTCACTCTCCATAAAAAAGTGAAAAACGTTCCTTAAGAAGTTTTCACTTCAAAAAAAAAGGTTAAAATTATTCATATTTCTTATTATCCTATTTATTCGACCATGTAATATTTTAATGCATATTGTCATTTATTATCAATTCATATTATATAATTATAGCTCTAGAGGTGTTAAACAGAGAATGTGAGTAGCTTAATTTCAGCTTACCTAAAATTAATATCACAACACACATTAATATCAGGCATCATGAGACTTTTGATTTTGAAGTAAAAGTTATTGTTCTGCTAATTTTGAATTAAAGTTAAAATAAAAATAAAAGGTTTAGCAAACATAGAGGGAAGCCGATCTTAAGAGCTGTGATTTTGGCTAAGTTATCGTTTGTTCCTACTTTTTGGTAAGACGTTAAATATTACTTACCGATAAAAAGCGTTTTTCTTGTGTTTTGGATTCATATGAATCTATCTATTTTTTTTTTGTATGTATAAATATCCATTTATATATGGATGAATACTCATACACTAATGTAGAGGAGATTCTTTTATAAGAACTAAATAGTATCAAAAATAATAAAAAAAAAAAAAATCAGAACTAATACATGAAAATTGATTGATTATACCTAGAAATAATTGCAGAATAATGTACGTCTCGTACTTGAAAATTTGGAAACAATTGAATCTGAAATGTTATAGGATATTATTTTAAGAATGTTTTTTATTACTCAAATAATAGTTAGAAACAAGAATTTTTTTTTTATTACGGGGAGAGGGAGGAGTTGTTCAAGACGTAAAACAAACTAAAAAAGAGGTACAATAAACCAAAGTAGCAAGGTTGAAATTCATTCAAGTGTACATCACGAAATAAATCTCAATCCGCCCAGGCAGGATTCGAACCTGATAAACATTGTAATAATATCTAGTTAATGACACCCAATTTTTATTATTATTTTTAATATAAATTATTAGTTTACAAATCAATTATATAACTCTCAGGCTGGCCTCCCCTTCCCCCTTCAAAAGAAAATTTTTTTCCTTTGGTCGTATTTGTTTCTATCAGAGTAAACATTATTTTTTTATCGATACATGCATTATTACTCCTGTGATATATGAAATACCGATATATGAAAAAAAAATATATATATAAACTTTCACAGTTTTAAGCCTAATTTTTCAACCTTTGTGCTTCCAATTTAGCGTCCACATTCATTGTCGGGGAGATCACAACACTCGAAAATTCTTGAAGAATCCTGAATCTACAATCCTACCAAGAATTATTTGTAAAGCGAAATAACAGGATATCTATCGTTTATATACTCCGTGTGTATACGTATACTTTAGAAATATTAAGGTATTTGTTAATTAAAAATATTGTTTCTATTTTAAGGAGTGGTAAGAATTTTGAAAAGCATTTAGGATTAAAGCGATCGATATTATGAGAAAAAAAAACATTAAAGGATTGTAAAGAATTTACAGTAATAAGTTCAATAAATTTTGTACAATTTAAATGCTGAGTGATTCTGATAAATTAACTTGGTACTTAAGTCTGAAAATTATAGTTGATTCGAGTTAAAAATGTGATGATAGCAATATAATAAACAGTACTGTATTCAGTGCTAAGTGGTACAATTAAATTTTGTATTTATTGTAGTAGTACCCTTGGTCATTTTCTTTTTAGTCTGCCTAACTACATTAATAATTAAATATAAAAAAAACATTTTTTAACAATGATGAAAACCATTGAAGACTTGAAATAGTAAACGAGGGACCAGTCATTCATGAAATTTTGTAGCAACATTCCGGACTACGGGGACATATTAGCTGCACCTGTTCTTGATATTTCACATCACTTTGGACGTTTTCTGGCATCAGAAGCTCTGGGTCATTCAGCATCACATTAAAAAACACAACAATTTTGGCAATACTACCTTTTATCTGTCTTGGTTTGATAATATGAAAGTTAATTAGTATCTCGTTGATGTTTCGACCTGTATTGTCATCCCCGTCACTCTTTCAAAAGGGAAAAAATATTAAAAGAAAAATTTTCAAGATTCATTAATTATTATAAATTAGTAACTAAGTATTCAAGAGACAGATCATAATTGTTAGGTTATAATTTGGAAAAATTCCAAACCACATATGGCTCCAAAATGCAGTCAATGAAAACAAACCTTTCAACGTTTCGCCAATTTAGGAAGGTACAGCTAATCGAAAATCACTTCATGACATCCAAACGCATCAGCAATTATTAGCTGTTCTTTCTGTCCTTATGATGCCTGAATTGGCGAAGCTTTGACAGGTTTGTTTTCTTTGCCTGCATTCTGGAGACATGTATGTTTTGTAATTATTCCAAATTATAACCTAACGTCGTTAATAATATTTAATTTATATATTTATATTTATTTCATTGAGAAAAATCAACTTGGTTTCAATTACAGAATCTACCGAGGATTTCAGAATTTCCAAGTCCTCAACGTCTTGTATAATCCTTCGCACTCGGTACTCCAGACGATTCCCGCCCAACAAGAACCCTCTCCCTTCCTACAGAATAGTGATGGCGCCAGGGGACGTTATGGCGACAAGTCGTAATACTTTAGAAAACTCGTTCGACGTAGAAAGCGGCGCTGCCGGTCCTGCGGATGGCTTTATGTCTTCATCGAAGGATATCTGGAGCTGTTGTTAAAATGTATAAAGTCACCCGAGCCCCCTTAAGGACACCATTGTATCCTCAACGTTCTTATTCATCCAGGACTAAGGAGTGGTCTCGGGCTCTTTCACAACCAAGGAAACTGGTAGGAGCGGTTGTTATCTTTTATTTTATTGTTCAATTATCGCCCGTGAAAGAAATAAGTTTCTGAATTCTCTATCATGTGGGGCTTCGTGGGAATGTTCTAAGTCAGAATCGTGAAATGTTATTTTATGCCTTCATGTATTTATATTCTTTTTAAAAGCAGCTATAAAATACTTTGAGAACGTTTTTATTTAATTATAAAACTACTACAACGTTTCCTTTCAATAAAAAAGCAACCTATTATGGGAGTTTAATTCAAGCTAGTTTCCGGTTTCTTTTCTACTTGGAGAGTTTTTCTTAATGCCCTTTTCCAGAAGAGTTTTTCTGAAGAATCCTTTCACGTCGAAACTATTGCCTCAGAAGTCACCTGCCTCCGGTACGAGATTTAACAGTTCATAAATCTCTAATCGCATTTTGTTTAATGCTTCATTTTGGAGTTATCGTAATTGTTATAAATTTAAAGTATTTTTTTCTGATATTTATTTATGTCTTTAAATGTAACAAAATGTAATATCATTCAATAAGAAAATGTTAAAAATAAAATATCTATTCACAAGATTTCTATAAAATTAGTAATCCACGTTGAAGACCCCTTTTTATCAAATTATTAATATCATTCTAATAGCTTTCACTTATCGCAACCTGCAACTTTCTATCTACAAAAATTTTCAGTTATTGGGCTTTTCTAATTAAATTAATTAATTAGATGAGGCACTAAAATCTCATGAATACCCATTTTCTTTCGAATTGTAAGATAATATCATTAAAAAAAAAATGTTCAGCAAAAATGTGGCTTGTTTGGGCTAAAAAACCTCGCTATTTTTAAAATGATACCATGTTATATATGGTACATATATATATTATATACGAATCACTTATATAACATTCAGGTTG